TTTCATCATAGGGCTCTGGTAAAGGGAAGGCGCATTTCCATGCTAATGTTTTCACGCTTCTGTCTGCTTATCTATCTCTGCGTCACGGTCACCTCCAGTTTAGAGCCCAGCACAGACACAGAGCTGTCAGCAGATGCGCCCGTCTGGCTGAAATCAGCAGGCGGCGACCACACCTGCAAGTTCTGGCGTTCGCTAGAGGCTCACTGTGTTTAAGACTCTGAGCTGAGCTTTATCACCAACGCAGAGAGAGGAAGAGACAAAAGGAGAGAGAGAAGGAAGGGTCGGGAGGGAGGGAGGAAGGAAGGAAGGAAGGAAGGAAGGAAAAAAAATACAATAAGTGAAGCGCTACTTTGTGGCTTTGTAAAATGGTCACACATTCAGAGGCTGTTTCAAAGAGGCTCTGAAGGATGAGGAAACTTGTAAAATCACAAAAAGCTGAAACATCAAAGTGAGAAGCGAGGAAGTTTCATCAAAACTAAAACCCAGTACCTGCAAACCCTCCTTACCCTTGTGGTATAAGCCGCTTCCGGATCATCCTCGAGCACTCGGGACATGCCGAAATCAGACACTTTGCAGACCAAGTTGCTATTTACCAGAATATTTCGTGCAGCCAGATCTCGATGCACATAGCTCATATCAGATAAATACTTCATCCCAGACCCAATGCCACGAAGCATGCCCACCAACTGAATGACCGTAAATCTGCCATCATTCTTCTATATGGGAAAAGAGTGAGAAACAATCCCATTAGCATTAGGCCAAATTAATTTTCACCAAGCATTTACTACTTGGATCTCTTTTGATATCTGTATCCGGTATGCAGTCAAACTCAACATTATTTCCTGGCCTTTTTAACCAAAGTCAGTAATTCACTAGCAAAGTGAGTGTATCCTAGAAGCTGGGTTTGCTTCCTGTATTAGATGGAAATTATCCAGCTATAATGAATCTATGGCTCAAACAGCCCCACAATACAAGAATAAATCATATACAACTCTCATCGAACATGGATTATTAAATAGTCTTTAAAAGTCACATCATTCTCTATTTCTCCTCTTCTTCCTTCGCCCCGTTAAAAACTAGTCCACGAATACCACCAAGCAAAGTGGTGCAAGGAGTCTGTTAGAGTCTTCCAGAT